TCTCTCTCTCTCTCTCTCTCTCTCTCTCTCTCTCATTCTCTCTGTCTCGCAATCGTTCCCCTAGTCTCTCTCGCACACTCTGTTTCTCATCGCTGCTCTCTCTCACGCTCCCGCGCCAATTTCGACGCTCGAGTATAATTCAATTTTATTGTACTAGCTAAGAGACCCGTCCGAGAGTTGGAAAACTCTTTCTTTCCTGGCAATCCGATCGCGAGGCGTTCCCTCTCGGTTCACTCTTGTGTTTCTTTCACCCCGTCACACACCCGCGTTACTCATAATTATCCTCCTATTTCGTACCTACGTTTAACTCGTCGTCGCTGCCGAACGGTAGAGCGCCGTCGTCGGCCCATCTAGTTGCGCCTAAAACCGACGATCGGTTCGCATGGTCGGCGGCGGAGCGATCGGACGGACACACGGTCATTTCGCAATTAAATATCGATCATTCCTGTTCCCACGCCCATCCTGAACTAACATGAAACTCTACTCGAACCCGGTCACGAGATCCGGGGAGTGAAAGAAGAGCTACTTATTCGTAGAAAAATCGCCTGGACCCGGGGGGTTCGAGGACGCTTCGACAATAACCATACATATAATACCTCGTCTGACCGTGTTCCCGATCGGTTCTCGGACGAACTCGAAACGCGTCCGTGAAGCTACAAACGAATCTAAGTCGGACCGCGCCGAGGCTCATCTGGAACGTGTCCAAAGTCGACGCTAGACGGACATTCTGATCGAAAAGATCGTCCCTCGCCGGTTGGGGAGATCGATCTCTTTCTCTTTCTTTCTCTCTTATTCACTCTCTCTCTCTCTCTCTTTCTGTCTAAATTGCTTCTAATACCTTCACGAAACGCCTCGGTTCTCGACACGCGACACGACCAAATTTTTCTGGTGGGATCGTCTCGAAACCCCGAGGCTCATTCGAAACACGCTTTTGTAACCGCGACGGCAACCACCTTCGCTTCGGGATCGTTCGTCACACGACACGAACACCTTACATCCGCGCCGCGGCCTGCGCGTTTCGAACCGATTTCTCTCCATCATCGGACGGAAGAAGTCGCCGCACGCGTATCACGACCGGCCCCGTTTAGGGACAGCCGCACTCGTCGACCACCATCTTCGGTAGATCCCTTTTGATGATGTTCGAGTCCGGGCCGTAGTAGATCAACGACATCGGCGAGAACTTTAGGGGAGCGCAGCACGGTTGCATGCCGGCCAGCCGATCCATCTTTCGGTACTCCTCGATCACGTGGGTGTAGTAGTTGAGGAACGTGTCCGGTGTCCTGTGCCCGGCTGCGCAATCGCCCCTGCAGTAGTTCGCGTAGTACCTGCGATGAAGACACGACACATTGTTTTATTAATGATCCTTTGAAAAAAAAGTATTATTTTTACGATCTGACTGACTTCTTGGGTTTGAACAAATCGTGTTTGGACCAAACTGATTTTTCACACCGTCTCTAGTATTCAGACGTGATCCCCACCACTGGACGGTTGGCTGGTCCCACGGGGGACCCACCCCCAGAGGTGGGAACGACGTCTGAACATTCAGTGCCGAGGAGCCTTTTCGAACATTAATCGATGATTCACTGTACTCGTTTCTAGTAGTGGAAGCGGTTGGGAAAACCGTGAACTATCACGAATATTTCTCGCGGGACGTTCGTAACCGCGAATTTTCCCGGAAACCCTGGAAAAATTGTAGCTCTCGGTGTCGTACAGTGGTAAGCCTACCTGGGGGATGATTCTGTTTGCCATAATTGCTTGTAAGTTAAGGGTTTAGGGCCGTTGCACTTGTAAGCGACACTCTGATTTCACGGGATACCATACGAGTGTAGGCTGGAGGTTTTGCATGGGCGAGGGGTCTACTCCGCGTAAATAAAGCATCGTGTCGCGTGCTGGCTACACCCACACTTCCCCCCTCTCCTGTATAACGTTCCTCTCTCTTCCCGTTGTTCTGTCCGTTCCCCCCGGCACGCTGCTGCGCCCGGTATAATATTACCCTCCCGTGATTATCGACTGCGGCTATCGACCGATATAACCGTTAAACACATCCAGCGTCAGAGACAAATAACCGACAGACACCGGCCACACGCGACATGGCTATTTCGTAGAGCCCCCGTTCGATCGGCGACGATTGCGCGAACGGTAATCCGTATTAATTGGCTACGAGTGTGGCGTACCAGGTGACAACGATCGATCACCTCTATCGTTCTGTTCGTTTGTGCTCTATTTTTTTTTTTTTTGCTTCTTTACACTTACCCCGGCGGAGCGATTATCCAATCGTCCCAGCCGAGCTGCGAGAAGTTCACGTAGAACCTTTGCTTGCAGCATTGACCCTTTATCGCGCCGCTGCACTCGACCGCTCGTCTTCTGACGCGTTTCACAGCCGCTGGATCCGTGCGTACTACTAGAAAAGGTCTATCCGGATCTTGAGCACCTGAAATTCACGATGGATCACACGGTGAATAAAACGATCGTGAGGAACGCGGGGAAACGTTATTCCATCCGATTGGCTGAATTGTATATATATATATATATATACATATATATATTGTAATTAGGTACCTTTTGCGTTTAGGGACGACTCGATCACGTGCGGCGAGTGCCCGTCGAAAGTGGACACGTATACGTGCGAACCGCAACCGGTGCAGTCGACCAACAATGTCAGCTTGTCCCTCGTCGTGTCGCCGCTCGACGTGTACCAACTGCTCACGACCCTGGTCACGTCGAACTTCAGCCAGCCGAGTTGCCCGTTGTTCACCCCCAGGGACGTTACCATTTCCAGGTGTTGCCCGAGTTCCTACGGAAAGCATCGCGTGGTATATCTCTCTGTGCCACGTTATATAATATATACATATGTAGAATGCTACGTTTCTTTTTTTTTTTTTTTTTTTTTTTTTTTTTTTTCTAGACGTGTACACACTAGAGGTTCTATTCGAAGCTTCCCGATCGGCTGAAACCCGTCAACCGTAGCCGGTAATATTGGACAAATTATTGGTAAGGCGGCTTAAGATTGCGGTACGTGTTTTAACGCGATTAAATTCATATAAATCGGATCAAAACGGTACGCAAAGTCCTGTATTTCCTTTTGCTTTTTGAAAATAGGGGTGGGAAAAGGAAGAAAAATAGGCTGGTGTTAAACCTTTCAGCGTGGAACAGAACGGGACTGTGCAGATTCATAAATGGACGTATTCTCTGTAAGTATCCTTTTACTTCAATCTTTTCGGTGCGTAAACGTCCACTCTTGGACTAGTTACACAGTGGCTAGATTACTCGTCACTCACGGTTGTTAAACTCGCGGAACGTGATCAATAAGGACGGTAAAAACTGGTCGCACAGCGAGCAACTACAGCTAGTTGGGTTACTTTAAACCTTACTCGCTGGCGTTCTAAGGGAAGATTGCCGAATTTGAATCATCGTCTGGGTGGTTCACATTCATTCACATTCAACTGTCCGTTCGAAATGTTCTAATCTGTATACGACAGACAAGGGGAAATACCTTTCCACGTAGATGCGTCGTGTTCCCGCCGCGTACTCTGAACACCCAGAGAGTGATGTTTCTTTGGTTCGTTTGTTCCTGACGATGATGCTGATACCGATGGGCGTGCCTGTCCTCGACCCTCGCCCAGAGGGTCGCTCTTTTGATCCTTAGTGGTTCCAAGGCCGGTTCACCGCTCGACATCGGGAACTCCAGCAACGGTTGCCCGTTCAACGTTCGTCCTGCGGGCAAAAAGCGTAGATATGATAGGCTACCACTACCACGATCGAAACGGAAGTGGCGAGAAAACGCGAGGCGTAAATCGCGCCGACTCGTCAACAAGGGGCCTGGTTTTCGGTTTTCTTCCCCTCCTCCCTCCCCCTCGCCCCGTAACACGCCTGGTCGGAAGTTATCGATTTTTTGAATAACCTCCGCAAACCGCCGCCACCCACCCACCGCACTCTTGTCGACGATAAACCTATCGCGATCGTAACTTCCGCCTGGCGAACCACGGAGAGCTGTGCGGAACAACGTGTTACTCTGGATCGCCTCCCTCGACGCCATGGTTGTCCTTAAAGGAAAACCTCCGCCCTTTCGATCGTTGCAATTTCTCACCCAACCTCCCCCGACCAGTTGCCCGCCTCCTCGAACGCGGATAGATGTATGATCTATTTGCAGAATTACTAGAAACACGATCCAGGACTCTGTGGTACGGAGTGTTCGAAACGAATGGAATGGTTCTCGACGAAAATCCCCAAAGGATCCACGCTGGTTTGCTAGGAGCTACTACTATTACCAACGGTCGGGGGCAACAACGGATTTCAATCGAGGATCCGCGAACACGGCGAAAAATAAGAACCAAAAAAAAAAAAAAAAGAGAAACCCCCGAAAAAACATAGAAAGAAGGCGGATGAACCGCGGGCAGCGATCGTAGCGGTCAAAGGGTAGATTTTTCTGTAGACCAGTCGTTCTTTTTGCTCCCGTTGTCTCTCTCCCCGCCCCCTGCCCTCGCTGCCCCTCCCAACCGGTCGTCGCGAGGAGCATAGTACAAACCGTGCGACAGAGAGACTGCTGTTTCGTGAGAAAGAGAAGTGAAACGGTGTAATGCACCGAGGCAACGCACAAACATACGCACACACACACACACACGAAACTTACAGTAAGTACATATACAATAATACATAAAAGTGTGCAGGAACAGAGAGTGCACATACAACGATCCCCAATGAAATACAACACGAGGACGGTCGTCTGTCGTTCGTGTACAAGCGTAACAAGAGATACATCGCGGCCATCGAACACACACACACACACAAGCACACAGTGTGCCTTCCTCCTGTGTATACGTGAGAAAACGGGGGATGTTCGCACGCGCGCGCACGCGATCTATCCGCGAACGTCTTTGCGGTGGTGTGTGCGCGCGTGTACAGTGAAAGCAGGGCGGCTTTATCCCTTAACGGTTTGGTGAGTCACGGACCCAGAGACCTCCCGCCACTCCCCCTTTTTTCAACCCCTTCTCTTTCTCTTCTCTCGTCCTGTCCCCGCCGCCGCCTCCCTATCTCCTTCCCCCTCCTTTCCCTTCTCTTCTCTTGTGCAGCCAGCCTGCAAGCACCACCGACACCGCCGGAGGCTCCCCTGTGCGAGAGAGTCAACGACGCCCAACTACCCCAACTCAACCTCACCCACCCCCCGACATTCTAGCGCCGCGCTCTAGCTAGCTAGACTAGCCAGCTAGCGCAAACCACCGAGCGCGAGCGCGTCTCTCCTTCCTCTCGCCTGGCCTCGCCACGCCGCGACGCCAGAGGAGCCACGGAGGAGATATTCAACCTACCGGCCTCACCGACTACGCGCTTAACCTTTTAAGTGCGGACCGACCGATATTACGCTACAAAAGTCGCGGCTGGGCTGGTATCGCGCACCGACACGCGACGATTCGCGGGAGGAAAGCGCGTGTTACGATTGGGATTTCGGATTTCTGGTTGGTTCCAGGCGGAGATCGAATTCTTTGGCTGGATCGTAGCTTCCTGAACTTTTGTTTGTTCGAACACTTTTCGAAGGTTTTTCTGTTTAACCATTCGGGTGAAGTGTCTGTATTATGAAAATTTCTAGGTGTAGTTTTGGGTGTGTAATCTTGGAATCTTGAAAGGTTGATTGGAAATAATGAAAATAGAATGAATAGAACGCCCTTACAGAGCCTCTCAGTGTGTCTGGTTAATATATATGTATATCTAAATATATTTATAAAATTAAAAATATTAAGGAATAATAAAAGTAATGATAAGAAGAATATAGAAATAGAAATTGCGTAAATAATTTTGACACGTAATTGTTGTTTCGAAAGTCGAAGTGAATCTGAAACGATAGAGGACAATGACGGTGGACCGAGTTGGGGAATTAGACGCTGAGGAGTACACCGAGGGTGGTTAGGAGGAATCGTCGTGTCGATGATTGTTTAGAGAAAAATTGAATGTTATGTCGTTTACTAAAGGTTTGTTTGAGATACGGAGGAATGCGGAATATCTTCATCGATCCAAATTTCTACATGTCGCGAGCGCACGGATTTCGTAGTCCATTTAACATGTTTACTGCCACAGTGAAAAAGGCCGTACGTAGCCAGACACTCTTTATTCCCTTTTTCTGGAGTCATAAATCGTCGAAAATATACAGGGTGCGGCCGAATAACAAGTACAAGCGGGTACCCGGTGATTCTTTATGACAAAATAAGAACAAAATATGAAATACAATTTGTTGATTTAAGGCTTAGGTTTCGAGCAAATCGACTTTGAAATACGGGGGCAATTGAATATGACTGGGCTGGCGCGTCTGTTCATTGCAGTCTGTTTCTACTTACTCCCAGGGGAATACACGTGTTTCAGATTAATTTTCGAAGTCGATTTTCTCGATAACTAAGCCTTAAATGATAACATTTTATTAAATATTTTGTTCTTATTTTTTCATAAACAATCACCTCGTACCAGCTTATATATGTTATATCGTTAATATATCCATTTATATCGTGAAAACACGAGGAAACTTTGCTAATAAGAAGAGCCAGTGGAAATATTTGTGACAACCACAGTAATTCTACCGGGATATTAATTTTCACGTGAAAAATTTCGTAACGTTATTTAAATAATCTAGCTCCTTATTTAATGAACGTGTCGCCATTAGGGGGTTCGAGCGATGTTTCTTCAGCCTCGGCGTGTAACAGTGAATGCACTCAGTAATATAACGGTGCAATAAAGATATTAAAAAAAAAAAAAAAAAAAAAAAAAAAAAAGACGAGCCAGGAAACAAGGAAGATCGCTGGATAGTAGATTCTCTGTCCACAGCGCGACCTCGACCTGATATTCCCTCCCCGCCTCCGAAGCTACATAGACACGAAAATAAAACAACAGCGGCTTGTGATCGAACTTGCCAAAACTCGTTAAAAGAAAATACTGTGGATGTGTGCACTCTGAGGACGGAGTGAGAGAGGGGAGCTGTCGCGGTTCAACGAGAAATTTTCACCGCTCGACGACTTTTGAACGACAGCGTAGACAGGACAAGAGGGGTGACGGGAGGTGCCTAGTCGTATGGTCTTCGCACCCTCTTCTCTCGGCTCTCGGTGCCTCTTGTGTGCACCTATCAACCCCCTGTATTCACACCTCGCTCGTCGTTTCGCTTCTCAGAGTCACTTGCCGCGGGTGCTGAAGCGTCGTCGTCTACGGTCGTCGTCTCGCGTTTCCCTCTCGTTATCACGTTCTTATAAATTCATTCAAAGTCTCGTGTACACGGCTGGTGCACGCCACAGAGGGGTGGGGGTTGATTCTCCAGCCCCCTTCTGTGGCGTTCGTCGTCACCGTTGTCGGAATAAATCGTTAAAGTGAATTAAGCCCCCCCTCCCCCTGAGAGAGGACTACACACCGAGGCCCTCCCCCTTTGTTTCCGCGCAACCGTGTGTCTGTGATCGATACGTGATCGTCCATCATGTGCCGCGACCGTCGAGATTTTGGCTCGCGGATCAGGGATAGCTGCCACGAGATTGCTCCTGGGGTAGAGGACGTGGATCGTTTCTGCTACGTGTTTCAATAAGTGAGGGGGCATTGTAAGTTACCGTATTACAGGGGAAATAACGAGAGTGAATCAACAAGAGTGGGTATTGTAAGTTACCGAATTACAGGGGAAATAACGAGCTCGAGAGAGATACAAGTATTTCCTTCTTGTCTGCCTGGTCACGGACACAATCGGCTGGACATGTCCACTGTCGAAATCCCACGAAATCCCGTAAGTCTAAACATCGTGTAGCGTTGTCCCAGCCAAGTGATAATTTATTGTAACGTGGCGACAGGAGAGCAGAAAGCAAAACGTGGAAATCCACCGCAGAGTGATAGAGAACGATTTTCCCCAGACAGAGCGCGATCGCGCGCACGCATCTACGCTTCCGCAATTTTCTTTTTCGCTGACTCGGTACGACTCTACGGGAGCTGCTACCCTGGTGATTCCATGGAACTCGCGTTCCGGGGCGAACTGCTTTGTTGCGAGAGGAAGTCTGATCCTGGGAGGGAGGACGGTTAAACTAGTATCGTGGACAAAGCGTATCAGGTTCGATCTCTCTCTATTTTTCTCTGTTATCGAGAAGAGAGGGAGAACCGGGGGATCTGTGGATAGAGGTTGAAGGGAGTCGAGAATGAGAGGGATAGAGTGAACACAACTGACGAATTTTACGGAAACAAGTAGTATATAGCCTTGGGCAAGTAGTACGAGACAGAGTGTAAGCGGCAGTAAATATTAAACATCGCAGATTTATCGGGACTAGGAGACGGGGCAAGCACCGTCTGTCGGTGCAGATTTCGACGACCGATATAAAATAGCCTCTGGAGGGGCGAGCACAGAGAAAAAGAGAGAGCTACCCTCAATTCGATGCTTCGGGAACGCACCGTAAAAAACACGATCGATGGGACATTAATGCCGCACGGTTATGTCGTTCCACATGGCGAACTCTGGAATAACTGTACCGCGGCCGACGCTGCTCGAATCGCGCCACCCGCGAATTCATCTTCTCGCGGCGAAGATACATCCCCCGACCCTCACCCCACCCTTCAACACACACACACACAAATTCCAGGGTGGTTCAACATCTTTGTCGCAATCGATGTTCAAATGTTTGCGTGGAAACATTATCCACATACATACGCTCTACTATCATTAACCTTATTCTGATATTCCGTGTCCCTTGGACCACTTAGTAATCATGAACGAA